ACTGCATTAGAGGAAAAATTAATTTTTTCTTTGTGCATAGAATATATTGATGTTTGTTAAATTAATTTATGATTTCTTTTTTTTAACTATAAAATTATAAATTGTCAGCACCTTTACCAAAAAAAAAAGAACAGAAAACGTTACCTTATAGTTAAGATTTTTACTAAACTACTCGCTTTTTCTTAATTTTATGATAGCTTATAAAACAAACCCATTTTCTTTCTAAAATTTTTTATACCAAAACAGCATTTTTGACTTTTTTTTATCATTGTTTAAACAAAAAAAATAACTTGACATTCCTTCTTTTCTTTTCTCTTTTTGTTTCAGTAAATAGACGTTAACATTTAGAAGGGTTAGGTAAAGTTGTATTTATTGATCGGTGAAGTGATCGATAGCTCTGATAGATTATTTTTGACAAAATAACTTTGTGATAAAATACGGGTATAATTCATCAATTAAACCACTGTTCGTTTCCAGATGTTTAAGAGCTTCTTTAGTATTTAAACATAACTAAAAGCTTTTTTTTATATTTGAAAACCCTTAACAACTGCAGAGTTTTTAATGTGAAGTGTCATTTTGATGTCTTCCGTATAGTACGCTTAATGACTGTAAGCCTTTTCCTTCAATAAGCTAAATAGACGTTACGAGATTTACCGCTGACAGTGCTCAAAATAACCATATGATTAGGAAATTACTCGTGAAAAATGATAATATTTTTTTGACAACAATTTTTTTTGTATAAAAGGAAAAAATTTTGCTAACTGTTTTGATATGTTTAGAATGACAAAGCAGGTACATATCTGTGATGGGACCGACGAGGATTATCGCAAAGTTATTAAACACGCAAATAAATGTGAAGGATGGATTATGGCTGAGGATGAATTTGAGCTAATGTCTAATTACCTTGGACGTGACAAGCTGCGGTTTAAAGTTGCAAAAACTGAAGGTTGACTATTTCTAAACACAAACTAGAAAAAACGCCTCATTTCCAAAACAACTCTAAGGTAAAAACTTGCAGACGGTGATGTTGTCGGCTGTTGCTTGTTGTATATGTTTCCAAATGCTCCATTTGTGACTTATTATTTTGTTCATCCAGACTTCAGAAAACGCGGCATTGGAAAACAACTGTTTGATGGAGCTGTGGCAGAAACGATTAGCAACTATAATGTTGGCCTACATGGCTGTGCGTCATCACGTTTTTAAATGCTTTGTGTAGGGGAAGAATTTCAGTCTGTTAGCACTTCTACAATTAAAATTTTTACTTAAGCATCTCGGCAATAGTTTTCAGCGCTTCTAATGACCCAACGTTATGATAAAGTGTATGGCTTCAACAAATATCCTTCCTGGGTTAGCGACCAACTAGAAGTTCGAAATATCGACATGTCAAAGTTAACAAGTAGAAATATACTGAACTCTAAAAGAAACTTCAAAACTAGTTTTACAGAAAGTATTTCAGGTTGAAATTTTATTAACAAATGGAAATATCAGCAACAAAAGAAATTTTTCTTTAGACTCTACAGACGACTTAGTGGTAAAAGACTTGTCTGAAGTTGACGTAAATTCTGTTTGTCGTTATGATGCCGGAATTGCAAAGTGGGACAGAGAAGAATACTTAAAAAAATTTTTGTTTAAGAATCGGACTTGCAAGGTTAGAATCTTTTAGCTGCTTAAATCTAATTTAATTTAAACTTTTTTGTAGCAATAAAAACGAAGAAAGTGTTTTAGACAGCTTATTTTACACTGACACAACGCCCTTCTCTATAAATCTTAATAAATGTTACTTAAAACCTTTGAAAGCTGTTAAAAACCAGTAAGTTTTATAGGTAATATTAAACAAAAAAGGCGAAATTGTTGGTTACGGTCGACTAACAGTGTCAATTGTCAATTCTCCAATTGTTGGTCCCATATACAGCGATACAACTGAGGGATTTCTGCTCTTGTTCAGTGAACTGGTCAGAAGTTATGCCAAAAATATCGTGAAGGATGTTCCGTTTTTACTTCGTATACCGTCAACGAAAACACCGATGATAACGGAGTTAATGCAGAAACTTGGAGAAATAAAAAAGGTTAACTTTTTTTTGCTGAGTTTCAAATTAAAAAACACTTAAAATACTGAGAGTTTTTTTAATAATTCAACAGCTACCACATAATTGTGCCACTGAATGATTGTTAAACTATAACTGCGTGAAAAAGATTCCGTGTTTGAATATTTATACAAGAATTGTTGTAACTTTCTTTCTGCCGCTCTAAAAGTGTCTTCTGGTGCGACTGACAGTTTCAACAACTATTCCAAATCGAAATTTCCAACTATAACCATGGTATTTAATGTCAGCATTCAGACGCAATCTTAAAACAATCTAGAAAGTTCTCTTCAAACTATACTAAGCATCACAAGTTTTAGCTTTCCGATATAAAACTGTTTTCAGTAACCTGGACTTCATTGTAAATTTGGTTTTTTTTTCAGTTACCCAACTGTGTTCCTCAATATACTCGAATGGTACCTGAACATGATCTGAACAGGATTTATTTGCTGATTGACTTGAACTGCTTTATTTAAGAAAATTTTAATTGTTTTTAAAGCTAGATTTTTACATTACAAGCAGCCCGTTAGAGATTTTCGTATTCTTTTGTTCATTCTAAAAGCTGTAGCAGTACAGCAATGAAATAATTGATAGTATTTCTAAATAATAAAGTTTTTGCTTTTTATTACTTTGTGTCTGCAAAAGAAACAATCCATGAAGAAAATAAAACAATGCCTCCCAAACCTCACAGCTTTCCTAGCAGATGGAAAAAAGTTTTAAAGACAATTGCTCTAAGCAA